TTGGCATTTTGACCTTTATAATTCACGTTTTAAATTGGACAGCAGTGTGCTTATGTCATTAGTACGAAAAATGCAAAAGTAATTTTTGCTATTGAACGTAATTATTTAAGTTTTGCGTTATCATGAAACGCACGCGTCAAAACAAGGTTTAATGACAGAGATTATACTGTGTAATGTGGTAATGATTAGGTTCATTTTGTTTGGCCACTGACAGTGTATTCCTTGGCCTCAGTTCCCATTCATTATAGCGACACATTGGCACCTCATTAACGCATAACATAAGCTTAACATTGACCTGCTATAATCCCAATATTTCCTACGCCAATATTTTGTGAGATAAATACTTTGTATGGAAAGTTCAGAAAACATAATGTGATGATGTGTTTGTTTCTGATATCTTGCAAGAATATCACTGAAGCCCAACTTGTGCTTGATAAGTAAGTGGTGATATTTATGCAAAAAGATGATATTTTAAATTCCCTTCACCCACATCGTCCGGCCATGGTAGTGTGGGATTTCTCATCGATGAAATGAATTATCGGTTGCACACAGATTTATCAAAATGCCATATTTTAAGTGCCAGATCATTCTTATTTTTGTTTAAAATAGCACATGGTGTAGACTATATGTCGATACGAACTCATCATACGTTTTCAGTTACATATGTTGTGATTATCTCGAAAGTAATTACAGACGATATGATATACAGTGTATGGAGCAAAATACAGAAAGCATGTATATTTTTCGAAGTGAATCTTATTACAATCAGTGATTATAGTTCTAATTTTTACTTCTGGAAGTACCCTATTATTTTAAAAATAAAAAAGTCCAATGCAGCAATTGTGCGGTTCAGGCAAATGAAACTGAATCATAAAGATGACAAATAGTCCAGGAATTGCAAATTGAAGCACGCTTGATATATAAAGGTATCTATTTTATGCTCTCATGTCGGGTCCCTTTATGTTGTCTGTGGGACCCACAGGGCGACCCACACACTGTTATAGATTATCTTAGTCAGCACCACTATCAGAGGCTCAAAATGGGAGAAATCACAAAGTTTCCTCTATTGAGTGTTTTTGTGAAAAAGTGCACAGTAAAATGGCGTCATTTAAACCCAGTTTATGCAATTGCAGGCTCGTGGCCGAATGTTCCGATGACATTGTTTGTCGACAAAGGAACATCTCGGACTCGAGGTCTTTTTAAAATTCTAATCATCTTCAGAAAAACAAACCAATATCAAGAGCGCGGACCGCAAATCCGCTAGTTAGACCCTGTAACTTATGGTTTGAGTGCCAATTGTTTACATAAAAAGTGTATTTGTTTCATAGGGTAAGATCAGTCTAAAATCTGCTGAATGTATTTTTCTTGTCGTTTACTACTGAATGTATTTAGGTTTATAGCTCATAGACGTGTTTCGGTCCGTGTTCCAGCATATAAGAAGGTACAGGTATTCTTAACCACGTAGGTGTCTGCTCACATAAAGGACAACAATACAACAATGTTTAAACACTCTAAAACTGGTAATAAAAATGCCTCCAACTGACTTGCATGCACTTTGATATGAAATCTGACACGTATTTGATGGGGTTGCAGTAAAATTAAACAGTCACTGCATCTCTTATGAATTCACAGTGGATTTAGGAAGAACCAGCACATCGCTAACTACTCTTTATTTTGACGGGAAAAGTGCCATAAAACGGATTTTCCTGGGGTAAACGCCGATGAACCCATACTTACCGATGGTGAATGAATCAGTTCCGAAATTCAAAGTTAGTTGATCGTTTTTTTAAGTGTGCTTTTGTAAGATAATTACGGTGGGTAGTCATCAATGAAGGTCCAGGTCGTTTTCTATGTGTTGTTTACAATGTATTTATTCTGATATTTGAGCTTCATATGAAGAATTATTACCCCTTTAAGTTATTTGCACGAACCTGGTGTATTGTAGGTAAAAAAAGGCAAGAAGTGCACATGATAAAGTACTTTTTTATTATATCAAAGAATTATAGTTGTTATTACGGTTGAGGAATTTTATGAAAATGCATCTGATATCTAAACTGATATTAATTCCACTTAATGTGTTAATGATAATTCTTTAAAGAATGGCGCATCACAATGCAGGCAAGGTTTAAGCCTTAATTGCTCCCTCTCTCTCTCTCTCTCTCTCTCTCTCTCAAAATATATATATATATATATATATATATATATATATATATATATTAAAAGTAAAAACGTTTTACCTGTACGAGTAATATTATATATAATAAAAAAAAAAAAAGAACAGCAACATTTTGCCCCGACCGGTTTCTTTCTTTCTTCAGGGGGTTTTTGATCATTCAGGGTAGCCTTCTCATTAGACGCTGATTACATTCCATGGGCGGATTATGTAAGGTACACTTTCCTGTCTGATGCAGCGTCCTAGGGGTCATCCGTTAATCACTTCAGGTCAAACCTTTTAAGACACGTGAATAAATCTAATTACAGCAGTCAGGACTGGTCCTGCTGCGTCAGTATCGCACCGATCTGTTGTGCTGCGTTACTTAGCGAATACTAATTGGTTTGCTTATCAACTATATAGCGTTGAACGGCTGCTGTTTGGCTTGTTACAAGTGCCTAATATGTCATTTAATCTAACATTACTGTCGAGAAATTTGACCGTGAGCAAAATGGAATGCTTTCCCAAAAATGCTTAAATTTTTAATGTAAATAAAAAAGCTGCACATTACGACAGATATCCGTAATGCGTTTTGAATGCCATTATGTAGAAGCATCTGTTTTTTAGTTCCAGTAACGTTAATTTGCAAGTTTTACTGTCTGTGCAGTTCGGTGTAAGTCAGCAGTTTTGAATACCACTGGATAGTTCAGTAAGTTTTTGGCATGTTTTGAATGCCTGAAATTGGATAAATGAATCCTATATGTAGATGGAAGCAAACATGTCAGAATCACAATGCTGTGCGGAGTTACGTGAGATATATCCTGAAAACTTCCAGGAAAAACAATTCATCGTCTGATAAGACAACTAATCGTTCGTAGAATTTGAACCAATGGGCTTTCTAGATATTTTATAAATGAATTATGTCATTTCGTATTAATCGTGTTTCAGTAGGCGATCAATAGGAGCGAACGTGTTGATGAAGCCGTGCTTTTAAAAGAATACAAACAAAAGTAAATCTGTAAACAGCTGCTTTTTTTCAAGACAGCTGCTGTCAATCTAAAGGTAAGGGTAGATTATGTGATTCACCTTTTGTCTTGCAGCTCTTGCTTTGTAAACTAGCGCTAGCAGCAAAGTCTCACTGATTTTTGCCGGATAGTAAGCTGGTTTCCTAAAGTGGATATTGAATTCTGCATTTTGAATTATGGAATATCCTTTTGATTACAAATGCACGATTACACCTCATTTATGTTCGATTGGAACTGGAATACGGTAAGTGACGGTGAGATGACATGGAATATGATACTTTTTTACATTAGCTGCTCCTTTTTGAGTACTGAAAGTGCGACTTTGTTGGAACATTGAAGCAGATAAAGTCGTCATATCATACATGACACATATAAAAGGATTTCATCACTTCAGTTAAGGGACACTCCCGTTTAAGCGAAAAGAACAAAACCCTTTTCGGCAAAAATTATGTTTCCTAGATACCGTTGTATATCCCTTCTGGGTAATAAAATTCCTTTTTTTGTTTCAACCGTTATGGTCAATCAATCTATAGATCTGATTAATGTTATTGAAGCCCAATAAAAGCAGTGGCTCACTAATGGTGTATGTTATTGAATTTTTGTTTGTTTACAAAAGCTGTATCCAGAAAAAATGTGATAAAAATTTATTTTAAAACAATACATTACCCATCTGACTTTAGAGCAACATGATTTTGCTAAAGAGTTTTTTACTCGTATTAACTTTGGAGAGGTTTATCTACACTGGTCAAGTCATGACTTTAACCCTTCTAATTTACTGGTTAATGCAAGCATCTCGTCATTTCAATCAGACACTGGGCTAACGTACGTGTAGAACCAATGTGGACAATATTGCATAGAAACATGCGTCCTGGGCGCTACTAAAACCCCAACTCTCTTTGATGAGCTACACCAGAAAGTGATACCAATTAACTCCCAAGAGGTACGACTACTATTTATAAGAGCTGACACTGGAAAAGCATGCTTGCATTACTAACTTTATCAAAGTGCACCCCGCACAGCGAGTTGACCGATGCCTTGACGCACGTATTCCGGAAGGGCAATTCCTTACGGACAATTCTAACTATTCCTTACCGTCTAGTCCATTCAACCGAATCTGAGTCAATTCAAATGATATAGAGACAGTGTGTGACTCGTTTGGAACACACCTTCAACATTCTATTGACATGTCGATATGGGAGGTAATGGGTATTTACACGGCAATATGTCACCCATGGGTAATCTTAGAGGAAGAGCTATATTTATAGACACATTTTCACCTGACCACTTCACTCTGTTTACTACCCGAGCTTCCTCTTTTCCAGTGTTCGTAAGCTTTGGACCAACTCTTTGACCATTGACTTTATGAAGTGGGCTGCATCTTGCTCTATTGAGGAAGAGAAAAAGTACTAGACTTGTAATATACTACTGTATGTTTTGGTAGTACAAGATAAGCCGTTATCGACAAAGAAAATGCTTTTTATTAGGTCATTTTGTATAAGGAGATGATCCCGATTAGATTATCAGTCTGTCTGCTCAATACCTTTTTGAAAGTACGTACGGGTTTGCTTTATATTTCAGTTGCCTGGACCAAAAAGCCATTTCCACGTCTATACGTGCTGGATCCTTGACTTAATGATTAATTACCCTGGAATGTATTGACTCAGACGGCTTCCTGCCTCAACTGTCAATATTTGCACTTGACCCCTAACCCCGCCCATTGTCACAAAAGGACGAACGCATACACATTATTCGATGCACACGACCCACGTGGCTGTATTATAGCATATCTGTCCGATACGGCTGGGTAGCTCTTTAATGACGCTTAATAGAGCATTGCACAGGAATAGACGGTCCGGATAGTACTAGTCAAAGCCTAGTGAGTCACTTAACGTAGAGATGTGACAAACAAGTACGGTTCTTTGGGTTTCTTTTTAATTGGGGCGACATGTGACGTTATAGGTCTGGCAGTATATAACACGATTTTCCGTACTGGCTTTTATTGAAGTCATGACGCGTGTTTATCAGAGAGCTAGCCTGGAGTATGGACTATCACTGCAACACAAGGTAAATTTTTATTTGATTTTTTAGTAACTCTCAAGACTGTCGAAAAGGCACAATTCCAGAAAGCTCAGTCAGAATTTCTTAAAGACGTTTGCTTTGTTTAATTAAAGAATGATGTTATTTGGATAACGTTTTCATGCATCTTCCGTAGAAGAAATCGTAATAAAAGGAAGACACGTTGACTGAGTTCCAAGCCATTCAAAATGCGTATCGTAAGTACAGTAGAGGCTATTCGTTTCAATACGAGTAAATTGTTCTGGAGCACACGATCGCGATTGATTTAAAAAACATCACCATCAGAAACGCGCAACATAAAAGGCATTTATCTAATTAGAATAAGCAACACTATTTTACATGCATGTGGGAAGATGAAAGGCTTTAAGAGTGAACTTTTCATTAGCTCTGCATACAGTTAAAGGGAAAACAATTCTTCGTTTTGGCGGGCAGAGTGCCATACAACGGATTTGCCCGGGGTAAACGACGATTCCCCCATACTTGCCAATGGTAAATGAATCCGTTCCTACATTCAAAGTTAGTCGATCGTTTCTTTAAGTGTTTTTATTATTATTATTATTATTTTGGAATAATCTCTTAGGAGAATATTACGGAGGGGAGCACTCTTTGATTTTCAAGTGGTCCAACAGATTCCAGAATAACGATAACTGCCGTTTTGCTGATAAAATGGAATTGGTTATATTTCTATGTGTTGTTTAGAATGTATTTATGTGGAATTTTGAATCTTATAAGAAGAGTTGGAACCCGTTTTATGTTTAACATTAGAACATTATTTACATGAGAAGCTACATATACCTATGTGATTTTGTAAGATATTACGTCTAAAAATCCTTCAGCTGTCAGCCGCTTCCATCATTTTCTGATTGTCTGTGCTTGTGAGTAATTGCAATCGCACCATGAAATTGCAATTTAAGGGAGCATTCAGATAGACACATCGTACGAAATGGGTCAGTCCAACACTGTGGGGGCTGAACTGAATGACACGCCTCCTCAAAAAGGAAGGTATTAATTAACTTTCGTGTTCGCTCGACTTAAATACCCCCTATCTGCTTGAGGAAGCGTGTCAGATAATTCAGTTGATTCCATTGATTGCACTTGCACCCCCCGCTTTATTACGGCGATATAAAAGACTTTCTATCATTTCTGTCGAGAGAAAAAACATTTTCCTCGTGTTCCTGATTGCTCGACCCGTTCTCGATATTGTATACAAAATCTCATTATATAATTTTGTTCTAAACGAATCGTGATTCATTCAGTCTGTTTTAAGTCTGAAAGTCTGTTTTAAGAAAGATAGGTAGCTTTACAGGATAGGATATTTACTACTTTGATATATTTAAGTGCGGATACATGTACCATATCTTTAATTACTTCATACAACCATACTACGTATATTAACTGATGAACAGGTCTGTCTTTTCAAAAATCGGTACCCGATTTGATGTCATTAACGTTTTGCAACAAGCATTTATTGATGCCGGTGGTTTCCTTCATTTTGCTTAATAGGTTACATTTTAAAATAACCTTCGTATGCCAGTAAACGTGGTGTAGTTTTGGTTGTCACCAGAACAAAAAAGGTTACAGATATGCAATTTTAGTAACCAGATCCTCAATGCATTATATCCATTAACATATCTGCTTTGGGTCCATGGTACAAGTAACAAAGGCGGTTACAAGCACGATTTAACTTATATCAAGTGCTTTTTTAAAGATCCTGTGCAAATGCCTAAATTGCACCATGCACTAATACCATGAGATGTAAATGAGACTGAATGACACTCTATTCGGTCCTGTTTATCTGGGTGTTCATTAAAGTCTTCTGACCTTGCTATATTTTTTTTTTCTAATGACACTAACGCACCTCAGGTCACGGCATTGTGGAGTCTGTTTACGAGGAAAGATCACAACAAAATGATTTGATTTTTCCAGGGAGCAAAAGTCCTGTTAGCCATCGCCTACAGCACCACCTACCGACTTTTTCCAGATTCATATTTATTTATTTATCTATCACATACATATACTGCTTGATCGTTTGACCGTACCTTAAGTTTGTTACTTCTTCAGCATGGGCAAGATATCTTAGTTTAAACGACCAAATATTTTTTTCAATTCTCATTGTCTGCTTTTATTTCAGATGAGAAATTGCACCAAATCAGTGTGGATGTTTATTCAGACCACAGTACTACTAACCTGCGTCATGAGTTTAACGAGCAGCGCCACCTTGTGTGAAGTGCGCTGTGAGACAGAAGACGTGGCATCTTTGAAAGACTACTGGAGAAGTAAACACAGCTCAGGTGACTTATTGACATTTGGTCTCCTTTATTAAGATGATGAACTTAGCATAGTTGGTCCATTCATTTTAATTATTAATCTAATAAACGGTTGTATCCCTGTGCTTTTAATTTTAATTCTTTAAACGCTATCTATCTTTGCATCACCTGTGTCTGTTGTTACCATAAATATTCGTGAAACGATACTAATAATTATATAAATTACCGCAAGTTATATGTTCCTCAGACAAATTTAGTGTTGCTTTATTTAAGTAACATTGGACAATGCATCCCCATGCAATACGAGAGATAATGACCAATGGTCTTCTTCCTTCCAGATACATTTACTGGTTTTGTCCAGTCACTGTTGAAATCTCTTCAGGCGTTTCCGTCCCTGTCAGGACTTTACGAGAATGTCTTATATGTAATAAGGACCTACGACGATTGCATGACCACGTGTGAAATTCCACATAGTAAAAAACGCGGACGTTTACAGCATTTACCGTCTCAGGATGCTTTCTTCAGAATTTTTGAATTAAGTAAGTGGTTTGTGGTTATGTGTTTCCACCTGTGCTGTGTATAGCGTTGTGGCTATCACGTCATCTTCTGATGCTTTCTTTGATCTTTCGTTTTCTTAATTATTATAAATGGAGTAATTTTTCCCATTACCTTCGCTTTTTTTCCTCTCAGGAGTATCATATGAATAGGAATAATTACTTTATTTTGTGGATTGTGTTTAGTTCCCGTGAAGACGTATGCCACCAAATAACAACGGGCGCTTGACAGCATGCTTCATATTGAAAACTGTCCATTTAGCCGTTGAGCAGATTGAATGAATTTATTTTCCCAGGCATTGCTTAGCATTTAGTACCATTCTAAAAGAGCTCGTACAAATCACCTGATTCACAAATATGTTATTACGTTTCAGAATCTCGTTCGATTGGGAGGAGATGACGTCACTGGAGTCCCATTCTCTAAGGGAATTTTTGGGCTCTCCCAGAGAATGTTAATAAAAATCAGACGAAGCAGTAGCTGACCCAGATATTCAGTAACACAAGTTTTGATTGGACAAGTTGGAAATCCACCGCTTTCTATAAAAGATTCACTGGCGTTTTTTCATCAATTGACAATTTATCCAAGATACCATCACCATAGAAACGTGAACAGTCAGTTTATGATATGCCTGTAAACAGAGAAATTGAAGGCACAGCGATTGTAGTTTCAGTAGAGAAAAACCATGAATATACCGCGTCAAGAATGATTTTTCATTTAAAACATAAAACTGAGAGAGGGCTCTTTGACACAATCGCCTGTATCAGAAATAGGAAGACAACAAATAGGAGGATGATAAATAGACCTTTTTGGTTTGGAAAACACATCCACAAATAACGTCACATAAAGGTGTAACCACGTGGACCCTAAGAACGGCCGAGTAGACGGGGCTCTCACTTCCGTTACAAAGAATAGCAAAAGAAAACCATTTCTCACATAGCTGACGTCATTACCTGGATGTCTTTTCAAAACCAAAAATGTTGATTTAATTCAAACACTGACGTTTCATTTTTTTCTGATTGTTCAAATTTTATGGCATCGTTATAAGGTATGAAGGAAACTTAAAATTGAATGCGAAATTTTTACTGTTTATGTTAATTGAATGATACTAAACATGACATTTAGCTTGTTTTTCTTATACATTGGTCATGTGCAATTGTTTCTCATTTTCTTAGACAACATGCCTTATTTTACTCCTTGGATAACAAATCAAGATTCAGATAAAAGTGAATAAACCCAGATTTGACAAACATTTGTGACACATAAATTGCTCGGCGATAAATGTTTAATTTGGCTGACAAGTACCAATCTAAAAGTTACCAAAAGATTTGCAGAATCATCAATACAGGAAACATCGCTCCGTTTACCGGTACATGAGGTTCTTACTTTTTCTTTTCCAAACTTAGTATGAATCACTAAGCACTAACTCAACTTCAGTTTGTAGGGTCGGTCTTCTTTTCTTCAATCACAGGTGCCCAGTGAGGCACCCCGCATATGTATGAAGTATTAAAGGGATAACAACTGTTCGTTTCGGCCCAAAAAAACGGATTTTCCTAGGGTAAAGGACAATTTTCCCCATACTTACCAATGGTTTGTGAACCCATTCGACCTTAATTTTCAAAGTTATTTCTTTTTTTTTTTTTGTAATAATCTCTGGAGAGAATATTACGGAGCCAACTATGAAGGTCCAAGTTGTCTGGTGGGAAGCAAAGATTCCAGCATAATTGAAGAACTGTCTACAATGATTTTATTGTAAAACATAAATCTCATATGAACAGTTGTTCTCCCTTTAAGCATCCGATAGTTTTTACTCCCATAGGCTACTTCCCCTGATTTCTCTCTTTGGTCGCTCTCATTGATTAGTTTAACAGTTTTACAGTTTATTCTTATTTACTGTGATACATATAGGTTGGAGAACATATAACAGTACATACATATGCTTGTTAACCTGAAGGCTTGACCCCTTGTTCACTATTTTAATAAATTTTACAGATTATTAATTTTTTCCTTGTTATTTTTGAAAATAAATNTTTTGGAATAATCTCTTAGGAGAATATTACGGAGGGGAGCACTCTTTGATTTTCAAGTGGTCCAACAGATTCCAGAATAACGATAACTGCCGTTTTGCTGATAAAATGGAATTGGTTATATTTCTATGTGTTGTTTAGAATGTATTTATGTGGAATTTTGAATCTTATAAGAAGAGTTGGAACCCGTTTTATGTTTAACATTAGAACATTATTTACATGAGAAGCTACATATACCTATGTGATTTTGTAAGATATTACGTCTAAAAATCCTTCAGCTGTCAGCTGCTTCCATCATTTTCTGATTGTCTGTGCTTGTGATTAATTGCAATCGCACCATGAAATTGCAATTTAAGGGAGCATTCAGATAGACACATCGTACGAAATGGGTCAGTCCAACACTGTGGGGGCTGAACTGAATGACACGCCTCCTCAAAAAGGAAGGTATTAATTAACTTTCGTGTTCGCTCGACTTAAATACCCCCTATCTGCTTGAGGAAGCGTGTCAGATAATTCAGTTGATTCCATTTATTGCACTTGCATCCCCCGCTGAGTTTAATTGCCGGACTTTTTGGCCAAATGCAGTTGGCTTGTTAAAGATACTTTATTACGGCGATATAAAAGACTTTCTATCATTTCTGTCGAGAGAAAAAACATTTTCCTCGTGTTCCTGATTGCTCGACCCGTTCTCGATATTGTATACAAAATCTTATTATATAATTTTGTTCTAAACGAATCGTGATTCATTCAGTCTGTTTTAAGTCTGAAAGTCTGTTTTAAGAAAGATAGGTAGCTATACAGGATAGGATATTTACTACTTTGAGATATTTAAGTGCGGATACATGTACCATATCTTTAATTACTTCATACAACCATACTACGTATATTAACTGATGAACAGGTCTGTCTTTTCAAAAATCGGTACCCGATTTGATGTCATTAACGTTTTGCAACAAGCAATATACGTTGACAATTATGTTTGTTTTATTGATGCCGGTGGTTTCCTTCATTTTGCTTAATAGGTTACATTTTAAAATAACCTTCGTATGCCAGTAAACGTGGTGTAGTTTTCCTATAGACATATAGCTTATAATACTGTATTTCTGGGAGGAACATACAGCAGGTATAAAACGGTGCCATTTTGGTTGTCACCAGAACAAAAAAGGTTACAGATATGCAATTTTAGTAACCAGATCCTCAATGCATTATATCCATTAACATATCTGCTTTGGGTCCATGGTACAAGTAACAAAGGCGGTTACAAGCACGATTTAACTTATATCAAGTGCTTTTTTAAAGATCCTGTGCAAATGCCTAAATTGCACCATGCACTAATACCATGAGATGTAAATGAGACTGAAGGACACTCTATTCGGTCCTGTTTATCTGGGTGTTCATTAAAGTCTTCTGACCTTGCTATATTTTTTTTTCTAATGACACTAACGCACCTCAGGTCACGGCATTGTGGAGTCTGTTTACGAGGAAAGATCACAACAAAATGATTTGATTTTTCCAGGGAGCAAAAGTCCTGTTAGCCATCGCCTGCAGCACCACCTACCGACTTTTTCCAGATTCATATTTATTTATTTATCTATCACATACATATACTGCTTGATCGTTTGACCTTACCTTAAGTTTGTTACTTCTTCAGCATGGGCAAGATATCTTAGTTTAAACGACCAAATATTTTTTTCAATTCTCATTGTCTGCTTTTATTTCAGATGAGAAATTGCACCAAATCAGTGTGGATGTTTATTCAGACCACAGTACTACTAACCTGCGTCATGAGTTTAACGAGCAGCGCCACCTTGTGTGAAGTGCGCTGTGAGACAGAAGACGTGGCATCTTTGAAAGACTACTGGAGAAGTAAACACAGCTCAGGTGACTTATTGACATTTGGTCTCCTTTATTAAGATGATGAACTTAGCATAGTTGGTCCATTCATTTTAATTATTAATCTAATAAACGGTTGTATCCCTGTGCTTTTAATTTTAATTCTTTAAACGCTATCTATCTTTGCATCACCTGTGTCTGTTGTTACCATAAATATTCGTGAAACGATACTAATAATTATATAAATTACCCCAAGTTATTTGTTCCTCAGACAAATTTAGTGTTGCTTTATTTAAGTAACATTGGACAATGCATCCCCATGCAATACGAGAGATAATGACCAATGGTCTTCTTCCTTCCAGATACATTTACTGGTTTTGTCCAGTCACTGTTGAAATCTCTTCAGGCGTTTCCGTCCCTGTCAGGACTTTACGAGAATGTCTTATATGTAATAAGGACCTATGACGATTGCATGACCACGTGTGAAATTCCACATAGTAAAAAACGCGGACGTTTACAGCATTTACCGTCTCAGGATGCTTTCTTCAGAATTTTTGAATTAAGTAAGTGGTTTGTGGTTATGTGTTTCCACCTGTGCTGTGTATAGCGTTGTGGCTATCACGTCATCTTCTGATGCTTTCTTTGATCTTTCGTTTTCTTAATTATTATAAATGGAGTAATTTTTCCCATTACCTTCGCTTTTTTTCCTCTCAGGAGTATCATATGAATAAGAATAATTACTTTATTTTGTGGATTGTGTTTAGTTCCCGTGAAGACGTATGCCACCAAATAACAACGGGCGCTTGACAGCATGCGTGATATTGAAAACTGTCCATTTAGCCGTTAAGTAGATTGAATGAATTTATTTTTCCAGGCATTGCTTAGCATTTAGTACCATTCTAAAAGAGCTCGTACAAATCACCTGATTCACAAATATGTTATTACGTTTCAGAATCTCGTTCGATTGGGAGGAGATGACGTCACTGGAGTCCCATTCTCTAAGGGAATTTTTGGGCTCTCCCAGAGAATGTTAATAAAAATCAGACGAAGCAGTAGCTGACCCAGATATTCAGTAACACAAGTTTTGATTGGACAAGTTGGAAATCCACCGCTTTCTATAAAAGATTCACTGGCGTTTTTTCATCAATTGACAATTTATCCAAGATACCATCACCATAGAAACGTGAACAGTCAGTTTATGATGTGCCTGTAAACAGAGAAATTGAAGGCACAGCGATTGTAGTTTCAGTAGAGAAAAACCATGAATATACCGCGTCAAGAATGATTTTTCATTTAAAACATAAAACTGAGAGAGGGCTCTTTGACACAATCGCCTGTATCAGAAATAGGAAGACAACTTTGGAGGATGATAAATAGGCCTTTTTGGTTTGGAAAACACATCCACAAATAACGTCACATAAAGGTGTAACCACGTAGACCCCAAGAACGGCCGAGTAGACGGGGCTCTCACTTCCGTTACAAAGAATAGCAAAAGAAAGCCATTTCTCACATAGCTGACGTCATTTCCTGGATGTCTTTTCAAAACCAAAAATGTTGATTTAATTCAAACACTGACGTTTCATTTTTTTCTGATTGTTCAAATTTTATGGCATCGTTATAAGGTATGAAGGAAACTTAAAAATTGAATGCGAAATTTTTACTGTTTATGTTAATTGAATGATACTAAACATGACATTTAGCTTGTTTTTCTTATACATTGGTCATGTGCAATTGTTTCTCATTTTCTTAGACAACATGCCTTATTTTACTCCTTGAATAACAAATCAAGATTCAGATAAAAGTGAATAAACCCAGATTTGACAAACATTTGTGACACATAAATTGTTCGGCGATAAATGTTTAATTTGGCTGACAAGTACCAATCTAAAAGTTACCAAAAGATTAGCAGAATCATCAATACAGGAAACATCGCTCCGTTTATGGGCACATGAGGTTCTTACTTTTTCTTTTCCAAACTTAGTATGAATCACTTAGCACTAACTCAACTTCAGTTTGTAGGGTCGGTCTTCTTTTCTTCAATCACAGGTGCCCAGTGAGGCACCCCGCATATGTATGAAGTATTAAAGGGATAACAACTGTTCGTTTCGGCCCAAAAAACGGATTTTCCTAGGGTAAAGGACAATTTTCCCCATACTTACCAATGGTTTGTGAATCCATTCGACCTTAATTTTCAAAGTTATTTCTTTTTTTTTTTTTTTGTAATAATCTCTGGAGAGAATATTACGGAGGTATAGCCAACTATGAAGGTCCAAGTTGTCTGGTGGGAAGCAAAGATTCCAGCATAATTGAAGAACTGTCTACAATGATTTTATTGTAAAACATAAATCTCATATGAACAGTTGTTCTCCCTTTAAGCATCCGATAGTTTTTACTCCCATAGGCTACTTCCCCTGATTTCTCTCTTTGGTCGCTCTCATTGATTAGTTTAACAGTTTTACAGTTTATTCTTATTTACTGTGATACATATAGGTTGGAGAACATATAACAGTACATACATATGCTTGTTAACCTGAAGGCTTGACCCCCTTGTTCACTATTTTAATAAATTTTACAGATTATTAATTTATTCCTTGTTATTTTTGAAAATAATTATATATGGCCTGTTGAATAATTTTCTTGGGATGGATAGATCTCTACTTTCGGCAAAAAAGTACAATTAAATACATCATGAAATTCGTCTCCTCTTTTTTTTTTTTTTTTTTTTTTTGGAAATTACATAACCTCGAATTCCTAAGTATTTTTGACCATCTTCCTGTTTCTATTGGTAATCTATGATTGTTATTATTTTGTAGGTATACAGAGTGGAAAGAACATAGTTTCTTCATTTAAACTCTGAATTTGTTAAAATGTTATAAGTCAACCCTTTACTAGTATTATAACAATCCGAACTCCATTCTTGAATAAACTGATCCTGCAATTTCACTTTCACACAATTTATCAGCCATTCATTGTTACAGGCATCCTGTGTAATAAACATTTTGCTAAGACCACAATTATCAAAAATGGACTTCAGATTGTGCGTCCACTTGCTTTCACATCCCTGTGTAAATTTACCATAGATAAGTTTGTATAGTATATATGAACATTTACTTTGTTTACCTGTGATCAAATTTGCCCAGAACCAATTCTTGCTTTAATACTAATACTTAATAGCATTCTACATAGTTCTCCATAAATCATTATCTTGGGTGTGTTTGTTTTCAGATTCAATAAAAATCTACAGAATTTCAAGCGTACTATAATTTCTAAATTACCAGACCCCCATACTACACAGTCATATAATAAAATTGGAACAATCATGTTAGCAAAGAGGCCTAACTAATCTACAACTTGGATAGCCTCACCTGGTTATTTTCTAAACTCTGCTTTTGGGGCTAACTGGTATGTCTGTACACCGGTATGTGGTGGTGTCCTGAGTTTAAAGCGTCGCGAGAAATTAAAAACGAATATTTGCCTCCCATCGTGCACATGTTTCGTCACTCTAGTTGGAGATATATATATACACGGAAAACCACATTACTTGGCGTGAATTCCCACAGCGGTCTCTCCGACGCTTTAAAGTCGATAGATATAATCGATAATTACAAGACTGCCCTGCCACTGATAACTCCCCACGTGTACGTTAGTTATATCATTCACAAAGCATTACCCGGTACTTCATGGCTTTTTTCCCCCTTTAAATGTCAAGGTCATCTGCCCAAGATAACAACGTCGCACAAAATACAACGTTTAAAACACATTATGTTGACAACAGATGCTAAGTGGACATTGGAAAATTCCGGGTTTACTTCATTAAATCTAAAGTGCCCTCACAAGTTAAAAGGTTTCATGTTACGCATTAAAAACCTCAATAATGTTTCTCTAGAGGTCTTTTCACAAAGACCGTTATATTTTAGCGATACAAATATAACCGTCTTCAAAAGGAAGCAATTCTGATCACAATGCGAAGTAACAAAATGATTAAGACTGGGTTCCCATACTAAGACCGATCCATCTGGATCGACCTAACTCCCTGGGGGTTCACGCTAAATTGCTATCAGCTCAAGAGGCTTAAATGTCTGTCATGCCTACCGAATCAGCTAGGGGTAAAGATAATTACCCCCTTACAGTTTTACTAGGCGTGACAGACGTTTAAGCCGGTTAGTTTGATAGCAATTTAGTGAGACTCCCCGAGGAGATAGATCGATCCAAATATCTGTGGGAATGGTCCCTAAGTTTTAGACAATAGCAACGCCACCCGATTTTAAGGGGAAGGAAGTCCTCCCTTCTCTTGTGAAACTGGAAGACAAGCCTGTTTCAAAAGATAAGTAAATGAATGATGATTAATAAAGCCTAAAACTACACTGCAAGAATAACAACAAGGCGTACTTACGGTAATACCGTTCCTTTCGCCCCCCCCCCCCCCTCCTATTTATGCACTAACAGTAGAGGATACTATACACTCTGCCGGATCACTCTCCCCACTCCCAGTCACACTTGGTTTACTGGGGAAGCGACAGGTTGGACTGACGAATACAAGGCGTGAGTCGGGTAACATGATTTTAAAATTATCAATACTAGCAACTAGTATCGCACCATGAAATTTCGAGTTAAGTCGTTAGTTGGTTGATCGCAATAACGTACTCGAGGCTCGAGATGAGGCGTGATCATTATATAGTCACACATCTTTGTGGATCATGATTTGGCAGTAAGGAGCTTGGGCCAGGAAGGGGTTAGAATGGTGGAAAATGGTTCTTAAAACGCCCCTTTACAATTTAATATCTGTATTAATTCTCTGCTCTGTTGTCATTAAACAAGATACGTGCACATCGAATCTAGAGTTAATTTATAGGTTTTGACATATACATCAACAATGAAGAATGGTGATATAGCCGAGACTGTGGAAAATGAATTATATGTTTTAAAACTTTTTAAAACTCGACGGCTTGTAGCAGAGGTGGAACTATTTCCACCAAAAATTCTGCTAATGATAACGTTGCCCCAAACCCTTTCCCATAAAGTGTCTGCGCCTCCCTTTCATTCAACATGCACACAATACACACATCTGTAGATAGACGCACGAATGCATTTGAGGTTCGAAAAACTTGTGTGCTTGGATACAATGTTATAATGAACAGATTGATGAGCGCTGAGCATTAACAGAGTGGTATGGGAATTGTGATAAAGATACAATCTAAACCAGCAATCCGCGCCAATCATTCGCCATTACTACATTTAATCTCGAAAAGAAAATACATGTGTATTTTGGCCGCATTCAGAACCAGTTGATCGGCGGACTAACTAGTCTGCGGATCAAATATGGTGCCACCCACCTGAAAGAGAGTCAAGATTTTATTGCTCTGCCCCTCATGGGACGGCGCGCATGGGAGGCGGTTTCCATTGTCAAGTGTGCGCCATATTTGATCCGCGAAACTGTTAGTCCGCGGATCAACTGGATGTGAACGCAGCTTTTGTGTCCGCAATTTAATCATTGTTCGTGCAAAACGCACGTAGGTCTCATATCTACGATAAACTTATGCAGATAATGTTATTATTGACTAAGTACAAGAGAAGCTTATCAGTTTAGATACACTTGTAATCTAACTACTACAGGCGTATACATCTAATTGAGTTTATTGGAATTGAAAAGCAGGACAAGAACAATAAAGAGTGCGCGAAATGTCGTCCACATTTTACCCCAAGTCAGAGGCCTTTACCGAATTTCAGACAAAGCTTCCAACGGACAACCTTCAACCGCGTCTTACGTCTTGCACCGTGACCAAAAATAATGAGATTATCGTTGTGGACCTGAATAACAAAGTAGTCAAGATATTTGAGTTCTTCGGTGACGTCATCAGAACCATTGGAAAAGATGGCGCTGTCAAACTTAAATGCCCATGGGACGTGACGTTGACCCCGACTGGAGATATATGTATAACGGAAGTTGCAAACGCGTGTATCCGGGTGTACTCCAGCGTAGGGAAATATCTCTACAGCATAGGCTGCTGTGGGGAGGTGAATAAGCACGCTGAGCGAACCCTCCAAACGCCACCCAAGACATTCAATGCTACACCTAATTCAAAAGCAACAAACCGGCAAGCATCGCTGGACGTTATACAAGAAGAGTCGTTAGACACAGAGGAATCTCCTGTGGGTTATGACCACCTGCCTTTCTTCCCGCGTGGCATAGACTATCACGTAACAGGTTCGTCTAATGTTAAACAAAGAGTAACAGAGTATAATTTAGTATTTTAGAGCAGTATGACCTGTAATTGATATTTATGGTGCTCGGTAATAATAATGATAATAATAATGCGGAAAAGGTTGGATATAGGCCTATTGCAACTGGGATAGAATAAAGAATTGCCCTAATTCTAAAGGGGCGATTAATGCTATCATTATTATAAATGATATTTTGAAAAAAATTAATTCAATGTTAAAAATTATTTTATTGCAAACATTTGTACGTTTAGCTTTTAAAATCGTAAGCATTTCGATCGTAGAATATGATATAAAGCCTTTACTAGTAGTGTGCGGTCTGCCTCCGTAAAGGGTAAGCTTGGTGGTTTTGTGATGACCAATGGAAATATCTAGGGGCACATTTTACAATGATCATCGGGCCCTCTTAATAGGGTTTTGGTGGCGGCAGTGTCAAAGGCTTTCCGATAGGCCTACATGCTTTCTGTGCAAAACATCAATTAAAAACTCCCCTATCGGTATTCTTTGTTGATTTTATTGAATATAAAAACAGACTTTGAGTAACTATAAAAATAAGAATAAGTTTTTGTAATTTATCTATCTTTTTCAGGGAATTTTGTTATCAGCAACTCTCCACCAATTCACAGTGCCCTTTGCCACAGCATCTACGTTATAAAACCAGCTGACGGATCCACCGTTTCCAAACTGATTGGCGCATTTTCTCGGCCGCTGTACCTTGCATGCCACCCTTTAAATAACTCTCTCCTCGTGTCAGACACCTACCGGTCCATGGTGGCGTCCTACGATCCCATCGGTAGGTGTCAGTACCAGTACGGTAACTACGGAACAGGTCCGCAGCAACTGGCTGCCCCGCACGGAATATGCGTCGATAGGGAAGGCATGGTTTACATAGCTGACCATGGCAACCACAGAATAGTCATTCTAAGGGATGGAAAGTTATCCCGCTTTATTTACGGGGGAATCAAATACCCGACAAGCGTGGCTTATTCTACAACCGGGCACTTAATTGTCACGGAACAACATGGGACGGTCAGGCTGTTTAATCTGCCACGTAAAATTAAGTAGGGCCTCTGCAAGGATATTGATGACCGTTCAGGGCCCAGTCGACACCACGGGCAAGCCCAACAGGCAGTCACGCTTTTGTCATGACATGAAATCCATTCACTTTTGCCAGTTAAAATATTAATGAAGTGGCAGTAGAAAGTTTACACTTATTTTACGCTTTTAGTTGCTGTTGACATAATTAAAATAAACATTGTCATTATTGAAGTCTTAATAAAATGTTTTAAATTTCAAGTTAACAATCCAGTCAGAAGAGCAATGTTTACATTACTTTCGTACAGATTCGTGATGATTCCTGTTGCACCCTGTGGTTTACGGACTACGGTTTCTGGCGGAATAGACCTACTGGCCATTCCTGCCACACCGGTTTCAATCAGCAGCAACGACAATGCACAGCGTAAAAATTTTTTTAAAAGGGCCAGTTCCAATCACGATACCTTTCGTTCTTTATTCGTATTTTGCTGAAAATGTTCTTTATCAAATTTGTGTCCTCACTGAAATTCGTCAAAATTACATTATTGATGTCTGTAAACGGTAGTTACGTAGCCCTACATGTAGGCCGCCCCTACGCATGTTTGTAGGCCCCACGTATTTAAATATATAAAATATTATATGTCAGCTTTGAGACAAATCATATCACCTAGCTACATATTTCACATAGTTAATAAAAAATATAATAATTTGCAATAATAATAATGCGTTTTAAACGAACAATGGTTAAACTGAAGACACAAAAGCTGCGTTCACATCCAGTTGATCCGCGGACTAACTAAGTTTCGCGGATCAAATATGGCGCGCACTTGACAATGGATTACCACCTCCCACGTGCGCCGTCCCAACAGGGGCAGAGCAATAAAATCTCGACAGGCTTTCAGGTGGGTGGCACCATATTTGATCCGCAGACTAGTTAGTCCGCTGGTTCTGAATGCGGCCAAAATACACGATTATTTTGTTTTCGAGATTAAATGTAGTAAAATACAAGAAATTGAAAAAAGTGCAATAAGGAAGCGTAATAGTGAGGCTAATATCAAGATTTGTCTTATTTCCTCACTCCCCCTTATCCACACCTTTTCTCTTCAGTTGTGTCAAATTACATGTATCACGTGAACATTTGTTTAAAAATAGAGTATAATCAGTATATGCAAGAACAATAATGATGCTATTTCTAAATGACATTGACGCAGATCATATGACAATTACGAATTAACAATCGGCTATATCTCCCATAAATAACATCTCTATGATCGTAAGACCTATAGCAACAAAATATTTTCCTAGAGATATCCAAATATGTTTCCTTTGTCACCTAGGTTTGACGTATCCAAAGTCATTCATGGTACAATTATAAACCAGCTTTTTTTTCGACCACTCTCGAAACCGTGATAGTAACTGTTAAATTCCACTTGCGATAGTGAAATGAGAAATCTAGAATAAGGATTTTAAAGCTTGTTAATTTTTCCAGCACTTTTGAATAGAGTCTTCATTACTGTCGAGGGAAATTTATAATCTACACGTGAAGACTAATTTCTCTGCCGCACATGCTAGCAAATTTCATTTCTTTATTCATGTGTACAGCAACGTAGATTGAGGCCTTCAATAATAATGATAATAATAACAACAACAACAATAGTGGTGGCGTTGATGATGACAATGATGATATAATTAATTATAAACTGTCCATTTTAAATCATCTTCCTTGCATTTAATTCTTTGTAATATAGGCCCAAGTACTAGTACCTCGTTTTCGCTACAAAGCTAAATTTAAAACAGGCGGGCCGAAACGAGCCTCTACTGCCCGTCACGCGTGCACACGTATCTCCATTAGTCATTGTGTTATCACAATATCTAAATACACAAGCTATGCCAAGTTTCCCAATGTATTGTTCTGTGTGATAGGGATATGTACAGTGATATGCACAGACTGTTGAATTGAAGCAGGGAATGGCTACACTCCGATGGCTATGTGTTGTGTTAGCGGCCTCAGTACAGCGGGTCACTCCAACAGTATGTAAGTGCTCAGATATACTGATTAAATTTGGGTTTTAGGCCTACTCTTTGTGCATACGTTATATACGCTCTTGCAGTTTTTTTTTTCTTTCTCGAAAGCAATTGTTCCCAGAACGTTTCTTTTACATCGCACCAAAAAGAGAGCACCTGGTCTCATTTTAAATACGTTTCCCGTCCATGTTCTAAAAATGTGCTTAAAGGCAAGTACAGAAATGCTACAAAAACCATGTAACGGTACATTGACCACTAATCTTATCACACCACATGAACATAAGGTCATAAACCTAAAACTAATTCACAATGAACATGTTACAACCTTTTGTATGTGTAATAATTATATAATGATAGTTAACGGATTAAAATCCAATTTGTTCGGTAGACTTTACAATGCAATGTGAATAAAGAATAAAAAAGGCTAGTAAAAGAAAAGGAAAGATTGATTTTAACAGGAAAATTTGATTAAAACAAATGATGTAGATATGAAATTGTTATTTCATGGCTCCCTTTAAAAACAAGTTCATAAAAATTCTTTTCGTATTTTTTTAAAATAATAATAATAAGTCTTGAGTTCCCTTTTAAAAGTAGTCGGAGAGGTTATCCTACGTAGTAGAAATAGTACACAGACTTATATGCTGTTTCTTATATTATATATTAACTATATTACTTAGAAATTTAATTATAGATTTCAGAACAGAATCTATTTATTTCTAATATTGTTCCAGATTACATGGACGACACAGGCACCGACTGTAACCCCGACATGAAAGTCGTGAATAGTGGGGCTTCCTTCGTGAAAGCGTGGCGTTGGTTGCCGCGTTACTTCTATGGCCAATGCACCATGCATTTTGTTACTAATGCCAAGGAATACAACGCTCTCCGCGTGACTTTCTTGAATCTGACAATACAATCAGACGACGATGTCGCTCTTACATTTTACGACGCAAACAGCACAGATGACTACGAGAAACAGGTGAGGTGTTAATGCCAACAAGTTGTCCTAAAAATTGAGTCACAAATACCTGGAAGCGCGCACGCACCCACAAACACACAGAAGTATATCTCAAAACCAACAAAGTCAGAGAAATTCAGCGCTGTCATGTTTATGGAAAACTTTACATACCAGCTATCTTGAAAAGTGCTTATCTGGGCATGTTTACTTTCTTTCAGTTGGCGTCCTTCACTTACAGCGACAGCCACAAAATTCCCAAGTACATACAAACTACTGGTAGATATCTGTCCGTGGCACTAAACAGGGTGTTCAATTCCATACATTACAACTTTAATGTGGAGATTAAGCCAGTTTATATAAAACATGGTAGGTATATCAGTAAACCAGAGACATACATGTACATGTACCAACTCAAGTGCATTTATGCTCGGAAATACATTTAGTGTTACCACCTTCTTAATACAGAATCACACAGAACCATCAGATACTGTTGCAGTGTATTACTTCAAAAAAGAAGCAGCACTTGGAAACATTGAGCGATACATTTCCCTTCTATCTGATGCACTATAAATATTATTAGTTTTATTTCGGGGACATAACATACATAATTCACGGTTTATTTTAGATTCTGGAGGCAAGTCCAGCGCGATCGGTATCGCTGTAGGCGCAGGCCTGGCAGCACTACTAGTGATAATAGTAGGAGTGACGGTTGGTGTCGTCTGCGTTTGTAAGAAGCAAAAGCAGCGCAAAGCCAATAGTCTGATAAACGACTCCAGTGGAAGCAGTACTAAATCGGATTACAATTCTATCAATGAACGTAAGCACCTTGACGTTTATGCCGTTTTTTTTATTTAAAACCCCTTTTACTCTACCTTTATGAAAAATATTGTGGTTCGAACAATCATACGATTTTTAGGATTTTGAATTGTCATTAAACTAATTTGTGTTATATGGTTTCTAAAGTATTCGTGAACATTTTCTTCTTTTCTCTTCTTTGACTATCTCGTTATTGTGGGTCTATCTTTATCCTTCCAGCAAGGCACATCCAGCATTTCCCCAAATGCGTTGAGCCACCGCCCGCATTCGCCCCTGCCTTTGTCCCAAATATGCCCAACGCACCAGCGCTAGCACATCAAGACCACGTTTATCAGGATATGCAACAGCACGGCTACCAAGACTATGGAGACCCCTATCAACAGTACTCTGGTTATTCGAGCATGGATTATACGCAGGGCGGCGCTGCTGTGCATCAGTCACATTGGCCTTATGAAAAGCCTCCATTTGATTCTCAGTCTACTGCCGCTCAGTATTATGGACATCCGGAACACCAAGGTCAATATGAGCATGTGCAAAGCAATAATGTGCCTCCGCCCTATGGTGGCACGTTGTACCCAACATTACATGATGTTCCTTCCGAATATTTACATACCATAAACCGCCGATAATTATAATGAAAGAAAACCAAGTTACCTAAAAATTGTTTCATCTGAGTGTTCTGCCTTGTGGTAATAAAATTCGAAGCACTATGTACTGCTTCAATATAAAGCAACGTTGATGGTCACTGAGTCCAATGTTGTGTCTTGGCACTCAGACAGACAAATACATGTATATGCATGTACACACAGTCTCAAGCTCGCTTATCAGTGGCAAAAAAGCATAGTTACGAAGAATTTTCCTACTTTGCCCTCGCACACCTCACTAAAAAAGTGCACCAAACTTTATTTTTTATCAGCGAGTATCGATAGCTGTCTAAACTCTGTACAAAGTTATGCACAGAACTACTCAGAGAAATACTTGGGAATATCTAGTGCAAAAATATATCTTTGGAGGGNATCAAAGGCTTTCCGATAGGCCTACATGCTTTCTGTGCAAAACATCAATTAAAAACTCCCCTATCGATATTCTTTGTTGATTTTATTGAATATAAAAAACCGACTTTGAGTAACTATAAAAATAAGAGTAAGTTTTTGTAATTTATCTATCTTTTTCAGGGAATTTTGTTATCAGCAACTCTCCACCAATTCACAGTGCCCTTTGTCACAGCATCTACGTTATAAAACCAGCTGACGGATCCACCGTTTCCAAACTGATTGGCGCATTTTCTCGGCCGCTGTACCTTGCATGCCACCCTTTAAATAACTCTCTCCTCGTGTCAGACACCTACCGGTCCATGGTGGCGTCCTACGATCCCATCGGTAGGTGTCAGTACCAGTACGGTAACTACGGAACAGGTCCGCAGCAATTGGCTGCCCCGCACGGAATATGCGTCGATAGGGAAGGCATGGTTTACATAGCTGACCATGGCAACCACAGAATAGTCATTCTAAGGGATGGAAAGTTATCCCGCTTTATTTACGGGGGAATCAAATACCCGACAAGCGTGGCTTATTCTACAACCGGACACTTGATTGTCACGGAACAACATGGGACGGTCAGGCTGTTTAATCTGCCACGTAAAATTAAGTAGGCCCGGTCTCTGCAAGGAATTGATGACCTTCAGGGCCCAGTCGACACCTCGGGCAAGCCCAACAGGCAGCCACGCTTTTGTCATGACATGAAATCCATTCGCTTTTTCCAGTTAGAATATTAATGAAATGGCAGTAGAAAGTTTACACTTATTTTACGCTTTTAGTTGCTGTTGACATAATTAAGATAAATATTGTCATTATTGCAGTTTTAATATAGGCCTATTGTTTTAAATTTCAACTTAACAATCCAGTCAGAAGGTTTAGACCTACATTACTTTCATACAGAAAACTCGTCTTAAAGTTTTGATAATTCCTGTTACGCCCTGTGGTTTACGGACTACGGTTCCTGGCGGAATAGACCTACTGGTAGGCCTACCATTCCCGTCACACCGGTTTCAATCAGCGGCAACGACAATGCACGGCGTAGGGCCTACCCTAAAAATGTTTTTGAAAGAGCCAGTTCCAATCATGATAGGGCCCACCTTTCGTTCATAATTCATATTTTGCTGGAATTGTTCTTTATCACATTTGTGTACTCACTGACATTCGTCAAAATTACGTTATTGATGTCTGTAAACGGTAGTTACGTAGGCCTGTACGCATTTAAATATATAAAATATTATATGTCAGCTTTGAGACAAATCATATCACCTAGCTACATATTTCACATAGTTAATAAGAAATATAACAATTTGCAATAATAATAATGCGTTTTACACGAACAATTATTAAATTGCGGACACAAAAGCTGCGTTCACATCCAGTTGATCCGCGGACTAACAGTTTCGCGGATCAAATATGGCGCGCACTTGACAATGGATTACCACCTCCCACGTGTGCCGTCCCAGCAGGGGCAGAGCAATTAAATCTCGGTACACTTTCAGGTGGGTGGCACCATATTTGATCCACAGACTAGTTAGTCCGCCGATCAACTGGTTCTGAATGCGGCCAAAATACACGTGTATTTTGTTTTCGAGATTAAATGTAGTAAAATACAAGAAATTGAAAAAAGTGCAATAAGGAAGCGCAATAGTGAGGCTAATATCAAGATTTGTCTTATTTCCTCACTCCCCCTTCTCCACACCTTTTCTCTTCAGTTGTCAAATTACATGTCTCACGTGAACATTTGTTTAAAAATAGAGTATAATCAGTATATGTTAGAACAATAATGATGCTATTTCTAAATGACATTGACGCAGATCATATGACAATTACGAATTAACAATCGGCTATATCTCCCATAAATAACATCTCTATGATCGTAAGACCTATAGCAACAAAAATATTTTCCTAGAGATTTCCATATATATTTCCTTTGTCACCTAGGATTGACGTATCCAAAATCATTCATGGTACAATTATAAACCAGTTTTTTTTTTTCGACCACTCTCGAAACCGTGATAGTAACTGTTAAATTCCACTTGCGATAGTGAAATGAGAAATCTAGAATAAGGATTTTAAAGCTTGTTAATTTTTCCAGCACTTTTGAATAGAGTCTACATTACTGTCGAGGGAAATTTTTAATCTGCACGTGAAGACTAATTTCTCTGCCGCACGTGCTAGCAAATTTCATTTCTTTATTCATGTGCACAGCAACGTAGATTGAGGACTTCAATAATAATGATAAAAATAATAATAACAATAGTGGTGGTGATGATGATGATAATGATGATGACAATGATGATTTAATTAATTATAAACTGTCCATTTTAAATCATCTTCCTTGCATTTAATTCTTTGTAATATAGGCCAAAGTACTAGTACCTCGTTTTCGCTACAAAGCTAAATTTAAAACAGGCGGGCTGAAACGGGCCTCTACTGCTCGTCACGCGTGCACACGTATCTCTATTAGTCATCGTGTTATCACAATATCTAAATACACGAGCTGTGCCAAGTTTTCCAATGTATTGTTCTGAGTGATAGGGATATGTACAGTGATACAGACTGTTGAATTGAAGCAGGTAATGGCTACACTCCGATGGCTGTGTGTTGTGTTAGCGGCCTCAGTACAGCGTGTCACTCCAACAGTATGTAAGTGATCAGATACACTCTAAATTTGGGTTGTACTCTTTGTGCATACGTTATATGCTCTTGCAGTTTTTTTTCTTTTTCGAAAGCAATTGTTCCCAAATTGTACCAAAAAGAGAGCACCTGGTCTCATTTTAAATACGTTTCGCGTCCATTTCCATGTTCCAAAAATGTGCTTAAAGGCAAGTACAGAAATGCTACAAAAACCATGTAACGGTACATTGACCACTAATCTTATCACACCACATGAACATAAGGTAATAAACCTAAAACTAATTCACAATGAACATTTTGTATGTGTAATAATTATATAATGATAGTTAACGGATTAAAATCCAATATGTTCAGTAGACTTTACAATGCGATGTGAATAAAGAATAAAAAAAAAGCTAGTAAAAGAAAAGGAAAGATTGATTTTAACAGGAAAATTTGATTAAACAAATAATGTAGATATAAAAATGTTATTTCATCGCTCCCTTTAAAGCAAGTTCATAAAGATTCTTTTCGTATTAAAAAAAATAATAATAAGTCTTGAGTTCCCTTTTAAAAGTAGCCGAAGAGGTCATCCTACGTAGTAGAAATAGTACACAGACTTATATGCTGTTTCTTATATTATATATTAACTATATTACTTAGAAAGGATGAGTGCGAATAAGGGGGTAAAAGTGCCCACTTTTGTACATGAAAAATAAATTGTGAATGAATGGAAAAAAATTGATGCCAAATTAAAGTTGGGGTCTTACACTTTTATGATCCACTTAAAAAAAAAAATTTTTATTGAATTTGAAATATAGAAAATTAATGTCAAAATGACCTTGTCATATATTCATGAAAATGTGTGTTTTAGGGGGGGTCTGAATTGCAATGCTACATATCTTTAGTTATAGTAAGGTGACAACTGTGAAATTTTGTAATTGGGTACAGAAGGTGCCCATGTAAAAAAGTAAGGCAATATGTGGCCAATCATTGCTTGTGATCAATATTTTGTTTACCTTATTTGTACACGTAGTGCTGATTGAAAGAAGAATCTTACAGTGACTTGAGGGTAAAAGATGTTCATTTTTTATATGAGCCCCTGCCTCAGACAAGCTGATTATTCACGGTTGAAAAGACATGAATATAAGGTGAGACATATGTGAAAATCAGCTTGTCTGAGGGTTGGGCTTGATATGTACTCAAACTAAATAGGGACATTTTCAGTCCATATGCTAGCAGGCGGCCATGTTTATTCCTGCCATGAGGTAGCTGCTACATGCTTACATAGGATGGTTAGGCAGATACAGTGAAACTTTTGTACAAAAAGAACAACCCAAAATAAAATGTAGGTCTTTGAAAGGAAAATAGGGGTTAGAATCAGTTAAATATTTTCAATTACAACCAAAAAAAGAAAAATCATTTTCATATATGTAATGCATGCTATCATCAAAAAAAAAAAAA